ACCAGGTATACTGGACTCTCAATGCACTTATAAGAGAATGGCAGGGTCAGCCGTTCTGGGAATCTGTGAGTAATCCCTCCTCCAGGACAGATTTGGAGTTGCATTGCTCTAGAGTCAGAACTCAACTCAGAGAAAATAAAGTGTTACCAAACAGAAAGGCCTTGGTGTCCCCTACAGCCCTGAGGAATAGATTAGGAAGGAGGCGATTGCTGTGTAATGGTGCATGGGACTGATTAGCTAGGTCAGGGACGTGTGTGTCTGTGGTGATGTCCTTGGACATGTCTTAATGGAGGATGAATGCCACTCATTGCCCTGCATTGTCAGTCATTATAGAGAGTGAAGATGGGGATGGTGAGCCAGAACAAGGCTGAGATCTCAGGACTCCCATTTTCCTCCCTGAGGACATCCACTCCTGAAAGTTTGAGCTGTGTCTGCTTTGAGTGCTGATCTCAGTCCTCCCTCCTGGCTCTACTCACCTTGAAGACTGGTGTCTGGCATGTCTTGAGCAGGTGTGGCATAGTACATGGCAGAGGTGGAGAAGGGTGTTTGGATATCTGTTGACTGAATCTCCTTTGGCATCATCACTATCTCTGGTTTCAGGGCAGAGGCCTGACCCCCAGAGTAGGACACAGAGCCACAGGCCTGCAGGCACTGCCTGAGTTCACCAGCCATCTGAGGGCCCAGGCTATTGAGGTCATAGTAATAGAAGTGGCTGCCCTCCAGGTAGGAAGGTGCCAGGCTGTATCCTTGATTTGGTGCCTGTGGTGGTGTGGCCAGAAGAAGGTTGGCAGACAGTGTTGGATAGGAAAGGACTAAGGAATTGGGATCTAAAATATTATCACCCTGGGCTGTCCTAGAGAAGGAGGAGAATGTGGTATTCTGGTCAGTGATAGTTACAGTGAAGTCCTGGAGTGCAGCTCCCCTCTGGTCAGTGTTTCCCATGGGATCCCACTGGAGAACACCTGGATAGGAGAGTGGTGAGGCAGACATCTGGCCCTGGTCAGTCAGCGAAGTCACCATGGTTGTGCCAGCTGGTAGGTAGGGGTAGGCACTGTCCATGAGCTGCTGGCAACAAGTTGTGGAGTCTGATGGCAGGAGCCATGCTGCACTCACAGCTGGGGTGGAGACCCTGGAGAAGTTGTACACACTTCCTGCTAAGGGTATGGCATTCCTCAGCTCAGGTACAGAGGCCTGCAGAGCACATTCTGTTCCAAAGAAAGGTGCACTTTGAAAATTTTCTGTAGGAAGCAAGAGGAAAATAAGAAGTTTGGTGAGATGGAATCTGAGTACCTTCCTGTGAGGAGCTTTCTTTTCATCAGATTGTACAATCTGGGAATGTCTGAGACCTATTTTCCCTCACATATCCCAAACAAACGGTTCAGAATGATTCTTGGTAATGGTTTGGATGGCACTCATTTAGTGAGCTGCCTGTTCTTCCTGTGCTGGCATGGACTTCCTAGTTGATCCATGTTGACTCTTGCTCTGACTAGACAACAGCCTTCTTTGCCATGCTTTGTATTGTTCTGATTTCTGCTGTGGCACTGCCTCACACCTGTGTCGCAGAACAGAAGTGTTTAAAGTAGGAGAACCTTAGACAGCTTCTCATGTCTGTGCCTTTGTCCTGTTCTGTGCAGATCTTCCTCAATGTAGACAGGTACAAGAATCTCTTTCTCCTCTTAAATCCTACTGTTCCTGTCGCATGCCTTCTATAATTGATGTTCTTGCTATTTATATAACCCCTACACACATATGGGTACATGAGTTCATGAATACA